TATATTAATGCTTTCATCATTAATGATGTTTATTGTTGTTGCAATTAATGCTTTTGTTTATCTTCTTATACCTCAATATTCAATTTATGGTGACCAATATTATGCTTCAGTGGTAAATGTATGTAATGATTTATAATACTACGTAGATTATTTTGAAAGTAAAAGTGCATTTGTTATGTTGAAAATATTTTAAATTGGAATAGAACAAGAACTTTCGAGTTCAAGATAGATTTCGTAGATAGGAGCAAATATCTGAATAGCAAGTTTTTAGCAATTGGTACATTAGTTTTTATGTGACGAGAACTCGTGTATTATTCTGTAAAATGTATCGTTTATAGGCAATGAATATTTGTAAGAGAATATTCTTAGCTATCGAACGCTTTTTAACTCTATGTTTCAGATATGAGATGATCGCTATTTAATGTTTATTTGATAGAGAGATCATGAAAATGGACGAAATCAGATGTAGGCAAAGGAAAGCTTTACGACTGAAGTCTTTTAGACTTATTGTTAGTCTCATAGAGATCCTTCATAGCCAAAATATGGCGTAAAACGATGGCTGATAATTGAAAAACTCTATTTGTTAAATACTAGAAAAATCTGTCATTTTTACAATGAACTAGATCGATTGATAATTTTGTTGAAAAACTTACTTAAATTGTTATTGCTATTCTTAAGAACGTTTACATTCGATTATAATTTCAAGAAAATGACAAACGCTAAATGAAAATTTTATTTAATCATCAAGCCTTTACTGAATCTGTGAAATAGATTTTCATTTAAAATGCAGATGCTCAGTGCGATTTAAGTCAGAATACTCTTATTTTTGGAAATGTGAACTACAGTCTCATTTTATTTTCGTATTTGAAATCTTTTCATATATTTAGAATGCAACAGTGATTGTTCAACCGTGTACACAATATGTTACAACAGGTATAACTTCTATTTACTTGATTTTATTTCTAATTTATTTATTTTAGATCAATGTGAAATGACTGTAATGGGCCGTATAATACTTCGATTTTTCTATAAAGTTTGGTTTTTTGGAGCTGTTTATTTTTTTCTTAGTTGGTTATTTCTTATTGTAAGTAAATTTTATTGAATAAAAATATCTTATTTGGTTTCATTTAGGTTTTTCTGATAAGTTGTATAATGAAAATAATTCGTAATCGTGAATCAAATATTCAAGAATACACAGTTGAAAGTTTCTTAGAAGATGATGATGATAGTGAAACTGAGCCATTAATTCAATAAGAAATTCAAAGTTTTAAACTTTACATCTATTTTATTTATTTATTTTGTTTGTATCAATAATTAATTTTGTAATATATCTATTTTTATGCATTTGATTATTAAAAAATAGATAAATCATTAAAAAAAATTTTTGTTTTTATTTTTAAATGTTTTTTTTCCATTGTGATTCATTATAAGAAGATAACGTTTGCTTTTGTTCAATATTTTTGAAGAATTAATTTTTTTTTTGAAGAATATTTTCAATTATCATTATTTTTTTCTTCTATTGATTTAAATATGATATGAATATCGTGTTGACAATTTGAAGACTTTTTGTATTTTATTGAAAAGAAAATTCACCAAGTGGACTTAATACTTCATCTTGATCGGTTAGATAACGTAGAATTCTATTTAAAATAGGCATGCACCGAATCTGAACCGTTCAAATTCGATCTTGAGTTCAATCATTTTTAATTAATTAATTAAATGAAATGAAAGTAAACTAAAAGAAAAGATTTTAGACTTGGCTACGGTAGATCTACAAGCATTAAAACAATAATATAAAAGTTGCACAGACACAGGCATTCTTAAAGGAACAAGGAAGGGAAAGAATATCATTGTCTTCCGGCTATCTTGTGATATAAGTTGCTGCCTATCAACAGATTCAATAGCTCGATATCCTCCGTACAACTAATATTAACTGTAGCTCTGGATAATAAACCAGTCTGACGCAGACTTCTTGTGCTTAATTGCTTGAGCTCCTCATACATATTCGCTAGCCACAAGAGTAGGTGTATGTCACATGTGTGATATGTATCGAACAACGCAACTATTGATTGATTACGACGGTATCCTTAACAAAAATGTCTGAATCTGAACTTGATCGAACCTTAAGATGTTTCCATCACCGTCCATATGCCTCAAGAAACGCTTGGCGAATTACCTATGTACGCGACACTGTCTGAACCAATTGAATAGTTCTTGAACCCGAGTCCGGAGCCGGTGCATGCTTCATAAAGTTTTGTTTGAATAAAATATTATTAAATTATATGTAAAATTTTATCATTATTATTAATCAATATTGTTAAAGAAATAATTGTGAATGCTTTAATGTGCTGAAAATAAAGTTTTTTTCTTATTAAATTTGGAAATATATTCACTAATATGACGAATATCACGTAAGATATTATCATATTCAATTATATTTTTATCAAGAGTTTGAAAAAGTATTATTAATAAAGCAAGATCATCAGGTTTTAATTGAGAAAAATTTTGAATTTCATCAACATTGGTACAACGAGATGTTGATATCTTGTTTTCGTTTATTGATGGACGTTGTAATCCAAGAAGTTTTGTATTATAATATTTACTAGTTGTTGAAGTTTTATCACGTGTTATTTGATCAATTGCTTTACCAAGAGTTGTAGCAATAACAGCTAAGAAAAATAAAACAAATTTCAGTCGAAGTTTAAAGATCATTATTTCAAGGCTATGGAGAGAAATTCAATAACTATGACTGATGATTGATATTTCAGGATTTTTTTCTTTACACTAACAACCTTCTCTGGCCCTGATTATGTAAGAGGAATAGGAGAAAGTTAGATACCAAAAAATTATCGGTTTTTTTTCCGAGTGAATAGGGATGTTACTTTATCCTTGCTTTATAAATACAATCTTTATTTTTATAAAGTAAAAACTAAAGAAAGATTTCTTTCTGTGATAGGTAAATAGGTAAATGCCTAGTATAACAAAAGGATATGTTAATCAATATTCTGTCTTATTACCAGCATCAGTTCGATATGTAATATTATTACAAAAAAATAAAGCTGATATATGTATATATATAAATATGTGCAAAAAAAAAGAAATTTCTGTATATTTTATTTGTATCTATCATATCATAAACTCCTATGAACTACCTGGTAAAAATTAAATTTTCAGAAAAGATTATTTTATAAGTATAAAGTTATATTTATTCTTTATGATAAAGAGTAATAAAAAATAAACTAATACTTTTACTAGTGAACAATAATCTAAAAGAAACAATTTTTACTTTTTCAAAATACCTGCTAGAAGTTGTCCTACACTATATGTAGCTAAAGCAGCAAATATATAAAATATTAATCCAATCACAGTTGTAAATTGTGGTGAATCTAATTGTAAAATTTGTTCAGCTACTTCATTAACACCTTCCAATGTAATACACATATAATATGAATAAAGAGCTTCAGTATAATTTTCATATGGTTCATATGTACCTGAATTCCAAAATGATGTATCACCTTCAAAAGCTATTGAAAGTAATGCAAAAACTGTCACAATAACAAATTCTAATAATAATATATTATAGATACTAGATAAAGCAATAAAAATTGTTTCAAGAACAAATCGTAAAAGACTATGAATACGTATTAAACGAATAGCATGTAATGTACGAAAAAGTCGTTGAATACTATTGATCTGTGGCACACCAAGATGATCAGATACAAAAAGATTATAGACAAACTAATAAATTAAAAAAACAACGATGAAAAAAGAATTTTTTTTTGTTTTGATGAGATAGAAATATGACTAACTGGTGAATTAACAATTACACAAATAAGATCATAAAAATTCCAAATATCATAAAAAAACCAACGAACATCAGCATATAATTTACAAAATACTTCAATGAATAGTGCCGCTAGAATATTAGATATTTATTAATAATTTTTATAAATGAAAAATTTTACAAACCTTGAGTAATTTCATGTGTAAGTTCGAAAAATATTCTCATTTCGGGTATTTTATGTCCAATTAATAAAGAAATAAATGACCAAATAGATAAAATGAACATAATATATTCCCATAAATTTGTAGTTATTAATTGTTGAAGACGAAGTTTTAATGTAGGCATGATAAATGAATAATTTTTTGCTCGACTCATTGGATCTTTTTCTTCGGGTAAAACTCGAAAAGCAAATTGACGTCGTTCAAATGGATTTGGAATATCATGAAAAAATTTATTTGATGATTCAGTTAAATGCATCATATGAATTGACGATTGTTTCTTTTTTTCTATATAAATCAGATATCGATTAGATTAAGATTATCTTTGTTACTTTTATTTCTTGTTTTGAAAGTAAACTTACTGTTGAATGTTACAATATTTTTATACTTGAAATAATAGCGCGCTATTTTTTCTAATCAATCATATGAATTTGTTGTTTTTTATCTCAGTCAGTAACTTTATAAATTTGTCGATATCTTCTATTCTCAATAACTTCGATCAATTCAAACATTCCCGATGGATCCTTAAAAACAATTTTATTCAATTAAAATAAATTAATTAAATTTATATATATTATTTACTTGAAGTTGATTAAGATCAATTTCAAATGATTATTATTCAATAAACTTAACACATATTATTCTTCTTTTTCAGAAGAAGAGAGATAGATAGTAGAAAAAAAAAAACAAAAACTTGATGAAGTAAAAAAATAAGTGCATTACTGTGATGCTTTTATATTTTGTCAAGTGTGACGTCTATATTATCGTTTAAGGATTCATTCGTTTCTGTTATCAATAACTATAAAGATTAAAAATTTGTTGTTTTTGTTGTCTTGTCTTAACATTATTTATTCAGAAAATTTTGATATTAGATAATGAAAAAAACTGTTCTTAATGAATATTATATGTACTCTTTTCTCATTATAGATATTAAATTAATTCTTAATTGAATTTATATGGGAATAAGATATGACAAAATTAATATATCTCGGCCTGATATGCTTTGTCCAGTTGAATTCAACGATATTACAGAAGCTGGTTCAGTTTATATTGTGATACATAAGCCGAACGAAGAAGATAAAAAATGTGAAATCGAAAAAAGAAAACGTTTTTCGGTAGCCATTGATGTTACTGGTATTGAAAATAATACTTTTAATGTTTAATTTTATCAACTATTATTATAGGATCGTCGACAACAACTAAATTCGTTGCGACTCATATTGACCTGTACGTGGCGAGTTTAACTGATTATACGACTTATATAGATTCTATGTTTAAAATTCGAATATGGGATCATTATTTCTTAGTGAAGAAAGTTGGAAAAATTCCACTAGCTGATATTCAAGCATTTCCTACACCAAATCATTTTGCAAAAGAAATCGAGCATCGGCTGATTGCAAATGTGCACGTTTCGTTATGTAGATTAAATGGAAGTGCTAAATGGTCAAGTACATTAAATTGTCAAACATTTACACGACAATGTATTGAATATTTGCAAATGGATTTTCCTCAAGATATTACCATCATCAGTGATGTTATGCCTACAATGGTGAATTTATATTTAAATGGATCGTTATTAACACACCAAGCAATTGAAAAATCAAATGAGGCATTAACAAAATGAAGCATTAGCAACTGAAAAACGTTTATTTTCTCATTTTATTCAGATGTTTTTTTGTATTTACTTGATTGAAAGAAAAAACTTATGGTCTTGTTCATTAAAAGATGATAAGAATATAGTAAATAACTTAGATGAAGAGTAAAATCTTTTATGCTTTGAATAAACATAAGAAAAAGTAAAATATTAGTGGAAGTAGAATTAATAAGAAAGAAAAAAAAATATCTAAACAAAAATTAATTAAATTTAAAAGAAATATTTATTTTCATATTTGGTAATTTTCCAGTGAATAATGGTTGGCCCATAAAGAACCGACCTCTGTGTATTTTTAAGATGTCTTCTCTATTACCTGCGTGATTAAAGCGTTTTTTATCAAAAGGTAGCGCTAGAAGTTCTACACAAGATGGTATGTTATTTAATTCTATTCCATATTTAATAAGTAGACTAAAAAGAATAACAGTACTCATTTAAGACTAGATGGTATTCGAGTTTCGCCTCGAATACGAAATGCGGTGCGAAGCACGAATCTTTCGAATTTTCGAAAAAAACGATATTTCTTTGAAAACAAGAAATCGATTTTTCAATATATCATGATCGTCATTTTGTACTACAACTGTGTATTCACTATGCAATGTTGGCAGTTCTATATCACTAGAATTGGAAAAATTCGTTGTTTTTTTGCGAATGAGCTGATACAAATGGTGAGAAAATTGAAAGATACCATTATAAAATTCATCACCACGAGAACTCTATGAATGTCGTTGAAAAATCTTCTGAGTGAAGATTTTCATTGATTGATTAATTATCTCTGTGATTCATTATCTATCATGAGTTGTTTTTTTCACAGCTGTTTATCATATGAGAAAGAGAAGAGTGGCATCTCACATAGCTTTGTATTTTCGAATTTTTTTATCTCAAAATGAAGAATTAGCTAATTGTTGGAAAATTTGTCATTTTCGGAAACTATTTTTGAGAAAACTGAGAAGGCTTTAAAGAAGAACTTAATAGATGGCATGAGTTCGATCCACATACTCGTACTTTCTGTTTGAACAATTGTTTTTGAAGTTTCCGTTCTCAAGATCATCGTGATAAAATGAAACATCTCAATTGATGATTTATCCATCTATGTAATCCATTATATGTAAGCATTTGTAATTATAACTATTAGACGTATGAAGAAAGACAACGGTTTCTAACTTTTCGTTTGTTTTCCGTTTTTATTGTACTAAAATAAAAAAACCGTCAAACTGTCTAAAATTGTTAGTTTTGGAAGGAGTTTATCAGAAAATTGAATGTGCTTTATGAATGAATCTAAAAGATATTATGGATTCGATATAGATACTGGGCTCCTGAGTTTAAACGACTATGTACAGATGCCTACTTCTTGAGATCATCGAGTCATAATATGACAAAAAAAAGTTTGGTTCTTTTCGAGTTATAAACGAATGAAAATGAAAGAACAAAAAGAGTTTGACAGAATTTGTCGCTCAAAACTCCGAATTTTATAGAAATAAATAGATAAATAAATATATTGATGATTTTAAATGAAATAATTTATTTCATGTAGATATATATTGGAATTTATCTCATATGACAAATCAACAATATTATGTATAATGATTTAAAGATATCTTTATCCTATATATGTCAAATCGCATCTAAATGATGTTACTAGTCATCGATTGAAATCGAAATTGATATATTTATATTGGAATATATATTTAAGATTTTCATTGAGATATTATTTTTAATTTCGAAAACATTTAAAATGAAAATTTGTGTGAAGAGTGGGTAAAAGTTATATTCAGAATTTTGCCTTGATTTAAATATGGGCATGAGAACGATGTTAGACGTGTGCCATTTACACGGATATATTCGCAAATATTATATGTCAGAAGAAAATATCAATTAGATTGGTTAGTTGTATCGTTTGATGTATTATATGTAGCTGATATTGTTATATAACAAGAAATGATTATAATCCAATATTTATATCACGTTTATTAAAAAGTGCTAAACATTTAGAATTTATTGTTTTTTTCTATGAATTAGATAAATGGGAAGATATGGCTATTTGATCTAGTGGAGATTTTAGTGGCCCATATCGAATATAACTCGGAAATACATCCAGCTTTGGGTGATTATGGACTAGGATATCCTATGGATAGCGGCTAGGGCATTTTCCTATGAAGAAGGATATGGTCGATGTTGGTTATTCGAATTATTCTTTTATATTGTATAATTGTAATTATTCAATATTATCGATGAAATCAATCTCGAACAGTTCTATATCATTTAAAAGAAATTCAAACTAGATGGTATTCGAGTTTCGACTCGAATACGAAATGCAGTGCGAAGCACGAATATTTCGAGTTTTCGAAAAAAGTGTACTTCGTGGAAAACGAAAACTCGATTGTCGAGTCAACAGCAATCGTCATTTCTAGTTGAATCGTGTACAGACTATCAAACATAGACACTTCTTGGTATCATTCGAATTCGAAAAATTACTTTTTGCGAGTCAACTGATATTAGTCGCGAGAAAATTGAAAAGCACCATAATAAAATTCATCGACACGAGAACTCTATGAAAGCCTATGAACACTTTTCTGAACAACGATTTCGATTGATCGTTTAACTATCTATATGATTCATTATCTACAATCAGCTGTGATTACAGCTGTTTGATATATGAAGAAAGACAATGGCGCCTAACTTTTCTCTTCATTTTCGTTTTAATTATCTCAAAATAAACAAAACATAAAGTCCTCAAAAATTTGTCCTTTTTGGAAGTGATTTGTGAGAAATCCGAAGGTGCTTTGGAGATGAACTCAAAAGATATTATCGGTTCGATCTCGATACTGGAATCTCGCGTTTCAACGACTACTTTCGGAGTTTTAGTTGTCGAGATCATCGCGTCACGAAATGTCAGGTTTTGATGCGTAGACTCTCAAAAGAAGAGTTTTCAATCTACTTTACTGGAAAACAGAGTAATGGCGAAGCAGCAGTGTTCACAATAAAATAAGGAAATATATTGTGAATTTGCTTACTTTGTTGAAAATATTTCTTAGACATGTAAGCTTAGTAACTAAAGGCGCAGAAAAGTTTCGAAAGTTTTTAGTTTGTCTAACTTGGATTTTCGGTACAGTTGTTCTTCAGTTTTTTTCAAAGGAGTACTACTTCAAGTCATTGACAATGTAGGGCAATATATTGAATCATACAGAATTAAATGTTTCTTCCAGAACGTTGTCTAAGTCTGTTTTACTACGACAATGTTAGTATTTGCCACCGATGGTGATGAAAAGTTTTGACGTTTGTATAATTATTTCGATGCACTGCATAAATCTATCTGTCTGTTGAAAAGAGAAACAAATGCTTGAGCCTACCCTAGCCTACAATACCTGAATCTAGTGTAGGCTCCATACTTATGGCTCAGTTGGTTTAGGAGAACTCACCTTTCACATGGCATCGTCACTACTCTTAGTTTACATGAAAGATGAAATGCGCTAGAAATGATAGAAAGATCAATTAATATTGATTATACATATTGATGAAATGTGACACCCTGAATGACATTTTTATAACATCAATATGACTACAGTCAATGATATCTCGCATCTTGTATCAAAATCAAATGGTTATTGTACAATGAGAATTGCCTGATAAATCGTACATTATTATCATACACTTTCATGAGAAAATCTCTTGTTTTATTATACAAGAATTCACATAATCAACTCCTTCTACTCATATAATCATTATAATAAAATGATACAAGTCAATCAAACTGATAATATTTCACAAGAGTTTACAATATATCTTTTCGGTTGATATTCGTTCGACAAGTAAGATTATACTATTAGTAATAATAAATAAATGCTTGATAATTGAATATATAGATTTTACTAATCAATTTTTATTCTCAATAGTATTGAAAATTGATAGTTTTTGTTTTATTTTATTTTTTATGTAAAATATTTACAAAGCACATATATGTATTAATGATGATGTTTTTTACTCTAGAAAAAAATAAAAAAATAAATTATTAATCTATTATTAAAATAAATCAAACCTTCTTATCATGTTTTTTCTTTTTCTTATGTTTTTTCTTATGTTTTAATTCTTCATATTGTGCATTTGTATTTGCTAATTTAGCCCATACTAGAAAAAGAAAACAATCACAAAATATATAAATGTAAATAGCTTACTTGAATTATCATGATCTGTTTTGGAACGAGATGGAAGATTACTGGGAATAGCTGGTCCATAAACAAAAGATGATTTCTCTAATAGTTTAGAAAACAAAAAGAAAATAGACAAAAGAGTAATATTTGTATTTTACCTGAAACTTCAATTTCTTCAATACTAGAATCGGAACTATCTGAATGATCACTTTGATATGTTATTGACGATGATGATGCTAATGGTTTTGTGATGGAAGAATTTGATACAATAGAACTTTGTGGATTAATTGGTTTCGGTATATCATCTGTCTTTTTTTCTTCTACTTCTTGTTCATCAGCACTCTCGTCATCAGAATGTTGATTGTCGAAAATTGCAGAAAAAAAATCCAATGGAGGACGTTCTTGATTTTCCTGAAACAAAAAAAAAAGAATTCAAAATAAATTATTATTATTATTAAAAGAAAAACTATTTAAATAATTTACTTGTTCAAATGATTCAATAGGAGCAAATTCTGATTTTGGTACTGAAGAAGGTTGTACTTGTGGAATAACTGGTGTGATTGTTGATGATCGTATAATTGTTTCATTTGTATTCGATATTAATGATGATGATGATGATGGTGGTGGTATTGTAATTGGAGAAGATTGCTCAGAAGATGTTAATGAATCTGTAGATGATTGTGTAAAGAGATGTTCAAAAAGATTCGAACATAATTGTCGTCGAGATTTTTTCGATTCTTTTGAATCATTATATGCATCACTAAAACAATTTATTATGATAATATTAATTTTTTTTTTCTTTTTTAATGGATAAACTTACTCTGA